ACAGCAGATTGTGTGTGTTTTGTGTCAGTGCTTGTGTTTGAGACATAAAAAGAGACAAAAGAAATAAGCATTGTTTGAGGGGTCAATACCAGAGTGGAGATAGACTGAGAGCTAGTTGGAGATATAAGAGAGACGTTTTATGTGATTGAGAGGGAAAAAAAGAAAGAAAGAAAGAGAAGATGTGTGTATTGTACTATGTATGTTTAATTGTTATAAAATATCATAAATTTCCATCAATACTCTTATGTGTCACACACATGACATTTTTTGACAGCAGTTAGTGGTAAGGACCACATTGGGCAAATGTTTGACCTTTTAGAATTAAATTGGCGGAATTAAAAAATTGAGAATAAAAGTGCGGTAAACAGTAAACTTTAGGACCACTGGTGTAATTTATCCAAAATAAAATGATTTGATTTGATATTATAGTAATGATTTTTTGATCTCACTTTTATGCATTTAGTATTCAACATTTACTTACATCATTAATTGTCACATCATTTAAACTTTTNTAAATTTTATATATGAAGGTTGATGTGTGAAGATTGAAGAGTGGTCGGGTGACGCTGTAGTCGACAAATGATGGCAAAGAGTTAGAAATAGATGAGATTTCGATAGTAATTTTATCGATCATAATTTTTATTATAGAAAAATTATTTTTAACCATAAAAATTAAAAAAATTTGCTTATGCAACCAAATGAGTGATAATATGATAATTAATATTACAACAACGTTATCTTGCAACGTTTTAAAATAATAAAAATTTATTAGGATGATATAATAATAGAAAATCATGTTTGTTGGTTGACTAGGACATATATAATGGAGAAAGTAATGAGGACATTTTAGCTATTTACATAACAAACGATAATGTAGACATTTTTACAAAATATTTAGTTAAATTATAATTTTATCTATTAGTAGAGAAAAAAATTTACTCTATCCGTTCTTAAATATCTGTCATTTTACACAATTTTTTTTGTTCTATAATATTTGTCGTTTAACNCTCCGTTCTTAAATATCTGTCATTTTACACAATTTTTTTTGTTCTATAATATTTGTCGTTTAATGAAACCAAAATATAATTAATATTTTTCTTCTAAATTTACCCTTAACTTTTTAATGCATTAGATTAGGTGGAAGTTAAGTGTCTTTCATATTCCTTTCTTTCTCAATACGTATTAAATAAGGGTATTTTAGTTTTGTGTAATTATTTTTTTTCTCATATTAAAGCTATTTAATAGCTTCCTTAATCCCTGTGCAAAAACTTTAAACAAAAGATATTTAGAAACGAAGAGAGTATCATTAAAAAGGTGTTATTGATTTGAAAGTATAAACTAATTGGAGAAATATATATTAAATTTTTCCTAAAATAAAGAGTAATATTACGTAGATTTAAAAATTAGACTTGATAATTATAACCATCAATTTTATTATGGATCCCAATAAATATTAAGATTCATTGGCTATATAATAATTGTGATTATCAAATTTAATTTTTAAGTTTATAAAAAATTACTCTAAAATAAAAGAGGGATAGATTTGTAAAGTTTGAGAAAANGCATTTAGTATTCAACATTTACTTACATCATTAATTGTCACATCATTTAAACTTTTTTTTTTTTATCTCATTTTTATTTATCAATTACTCTACTTTAATTTGCACAAAAAATAAATAAAATAAAGATAAAATTTCATCCACGTCTCTTGTAGTTAAATCTAAATTCAATGACACTCTCTCTTGATTTTAAAATTTCATTGTCACCCCTTGTTAGCGGTTGTCGGATTAAAGCGTTAACGACAATAATTGATTTACATAAATATTTAAGAATATTTTATAGGGTAAATTTTATCTACATCTTTTGTAAATGAACCTAACTTTAACAGCATCCCCTATAAATAAACTTAACTTGAACAATACTCTTTCCGATTCTGAAATTTCAATACAATTCCTTTTAATTATATTATATTAGCCTTTATGTTAATTAATTTAAATTTTATCAAATTAATGTCCTTTATTTAATTTAAACTAAATTAACATTCTATCTCATCAAATTAACACAAGATTGATATTTAATTTTGAGTAATGTTACATGCATTTAAAAAGTAGATTTGATAATCATAACTATTGAATATGTAATACGTTCCAATAAATGATGAGATCCAAAGTAAAATCAATGATTATAATTATCAAGTCTATTTTGTGAGTCCATGTACCATTGTTCTTTAATTTTATCAAATTAGCATTTAATTATATTAATTTAATATTTCATTTCATCAAATTAATATTATTTATTTAATTTAATACTAAATTACTATTTAATTTCATTAAATCAACACCAAATTAACATTTAATTTTATTAAATTAAAATTTAATATATTAAATAGAATATTATTTTTTATTAATTTAAATATTTAATTTTATCAAATTAATTTTATTTCTTTAATTTAACACTAAATGAACATTCAATTTCATCAAAACAATATTCTAATTTATTCAATTAATATTAAATTTTATCAAATCAACAATAAATTAATATATAAATTTATAAAATTAAGACCAAATTTATTCAATTAATATTAAATTTTATCAACTAATATTTAAATTTTATATATGAAGGTTGATGTGTGAAGATTGAAGAGTGGTCGAGTGACGTTGTAGTCGACAAATGATGGCAAAGAGTTAGAAATAGATGAGATTTCGATAGTAATTTTATCGATCATAATTTTTATTATAGAAAAATTATTTTTAACCATAAAAATGAAAAAAACTTGCTTATGCAACCAAATGAGTGATAATATGATAATTAATATTACAACAACGTTATCTTGCAACGTTTTAAAATGATAAAAATTTATTAGGATGATATAATAATAGAAAATCATGCTTGTTGGTTGACTAGGACATATATAATGGAGAAAGTAATGAGGACATTTTAGCTATTTACATAACAAACGATAATGTAGACATTTTTACAAAATATTTAGTTAAATTATAATTTTATCTATTAGTAGAGAAAAAAATTTACTCTATCCGTTCTTAAATATCTGTCGTTTTACACAATTTTTTTTGTTCCATAATATTTGTCGTTTAACGAAACCAAAGTATAATTAATATTTTTTCTTCTAAATTTACCCTTAACTTTTTAATGCATTAGATTAGGTGAAAGTTAAGTGTCTTTCATATTCTTTTCTTTCCTAATACGTATTAAATAAGAGTATTTTAGTTTTGTGTAATTATTTTTTTTCTCATATTAAAGCTATTTAATAGCTTCCTTAATCTCTGTGCAAAAACTTTAAACAAAAGATATTTAGAAACGAAGAGAGTATCATTAAAATGGTGTTATTGATTTGAAAGTATAAACTAATTGGAGAAATATAGATTAAATTTTTCCTAAAATAAAGAGTAATATTATGTAGATTTAAAAATTAGACTTGATAATTATAATCATCGATTTTATTATGGATCCCAATAAATATTAAGATTCACTGGCTATATAATAATTGTGATTATCAAATTTAATTTTTAAATTTATAAAAAATTACTCTAAAATAAAAGAGGGATAGATTTGTAAAGTTTGAGAAAAAGCAGGACTTTTCGAAAACGTATCCTCTTTTTAAGCAGAAAGAGCCAGT